AAGATCTATATGAAAACTATCTGCTGAATTATTTACTGAAAGGTGTTGAAGTAAACAGAAGTGGATATCCTGGTTACTGGAGATATAACTGTAGGGGGGTCAGAGAAGTTTGGATAGAACAAGTTATAAAATCGACAATAAGGTAAGATCTTAATTTTTTTTATATATATTTTTTTCCTTTCTCATTTGCTGCCCTAAAAAGCTGCAGCTGCATGATTTTTATTTTTTAAAAAATTTTACAACTACTGAAAAGAGACGTAAATAACTAATTAAGCGGATCTGGCATAGGTCTCCACACAGCTAACAGCCTATAGGGGGCATTAGAGAATCAGTTCCAGCCGCCTGAATCTTCGCCTTAATACTTAAATTTATCAAAATAAAGTAAACCCCCCCCCCCTTTAGGGGAGGAGACCGATGGGAAAGAAAGCAAAATAACATAAGCAACCATGTAAAAGTGGTAAGCATACTCCCTTGGTCCAGGAAAGAGAATAAAAATATAATAACGAAGAGAAGTAGGCATGTGCATTGGGAAAATGTTCGGTTCGGCATTCCGAAATTCGGCACTTCAACACTTCGGAACTTCAGCACGTCAGCACTTCGGAAATTCGGCAACTTCGGTATTTCGGATTTTCGGGACTTCTCTTGCAGCCGCTTAGTAGATAACTCCCTAATTCCCACAGTATTAGGGAATTATCTACCAAAAGGCTGAAAGACCTAAATTGGTCTTTCAGACAAATTTACTAATACCAAGTAAAAATTACTTAGTATTAGTAAATTTTGCCCCTACTTGCTATACCGCGAGTAGGGGCATGGAGCATGGAGCCTATGGCTGCTCACTTTAAAAATAAAAAATAAAAAAAGGCTGCTCACTGTTAAAAAAAATAAATAAATAGGGTCCCCCCTCCCGAGCCCCCAACCGCGACGCTCGAGTGGGGGCTTTTAAACTAAAGGGGGGACCTATTGCCCCCCCAGCTCCCACCCCTGAGCGGCGGGTGGGGGCCCTAAAGTAAAATGATGGGGGGGAGACCTATTGTCCTCCCCCAGCCCCCACCCCTGAGCGGTGGATGGAGGCCCTAAATACTAATAAAGGGGGGACCTAAAGTCCTCCCCCCTGGCCCTCACCCCTGAGCGGCGGGTGGGGGCCCTAAATACCAATAGGGGGGGACTTATTGTCTTCACCCCCGGCCCCCACCCCTGAGCGGCAGGTGGGGGCCCTAAATAAAAATGTCACCCCCCCCAAAAAATTAACCCCTACCTGCCCCCTTCACCCTAAAAATAATGAGGGGGGACCTTTAACTAAGTACCTGTAAAAAAAAAATAAAACTTACCTTTCAATGTTTTCTTTCTTCTAAAATCTTCTTTTTTCAGCCCCAAAAAAGGCCAAATAAAAATCCATAATAACCGACGCACTTAAAAAAAATAAAATAATCCATCTTCACCCATGGAGGGCTCCGCGCAGACTGAGCTCTGCAGGGCGGGGTAAGGCTTATAAAGCCTTGCCCCGCCCTGCAATTAGGCTCAGATCACTCTGATTGGTGGGTTTAAGCCATCCAATCAGAGTGCTCTGACAGGTAAATGAAGAGACTGACAGGTAAGTCTTTACATTTACCTGTCACAGCACTCTGATTGGTTGGCTTGAAATTACGTAACCAATCAGAGAGTAATGAGTCAAATTACACAGCGTGGGAAAACTCCAAAGAACTTTCCCATACTGTGTAACATGACACAGAGCACTCTGATTGGTGGATTTCAAGCCAACCAATCAGAGTGCTGTGACAGGTAAATGTAGAGGCTTACCTGTCAGTCTCTTCATTTACCTGTCAGAGCACTCTGATTGGATGGCTTAAACCCACCAATCAGAGTGCTCTGAGCCTAATTGCAGGGCGGGGCAAGGCTTTATAAGCTTTCCCCCGCCCCCGAAAGTGCTCAGTCTGCACGGAGCCCTCCATGGGTGAAGATGGATTATTTTTTTTGCTCTCTTTTTTTTTTTTTTAAGTGCGTCGGTTATTATGGCTTTTTATTTGGCCTTTTTTGGGGCTGAAAAAAGAAGGTTTTAGAAGAAAGAAAACATCAAATGGTAAGTTTTATTTTTTTTTTACAGGTACTTAGTTAAAGGTCCCCCCCTCATTATTTTTAGGGTGAGGGGGGTACGTAGGGGTTAATACACCGATTGATAAATTAAACAAAATTATTTTTTGGGGGGCTGTTTGCCAAATTAGCCCTAGCTGCATGACCTTGTACTGAAATTTTATCAGTACTTAAGTTCTGGTAAAGAAAGGGGGAAAAAGGGAAAGGAGGAAGGTAGTGAGAGGGGAAGGAAAAAAGGATCAAAGTAATCATCTGGGTGTGTTAGATATACCCCTGTGTTTGAAGAAAGCGAATATTTGGAAAAAGGACAGATTTTGTAAATGGCTACTAAAAAATCTAACGAACCAAAGAATACAATGAAGAGAGACAAGAAACAATAGAATAAACCAGAGAAGCGACTCTCCTTTTTTTTCCCCCCAAACAAATAAATCAAATTCAGAGGGGAATGATTTGGAAGAACGTATAATCAACATGCAAGAAGCAGTACAAAAAAATCTCCCAACTAATACAGAAAAAGACCAGACTGTTACAAAGGCTTTTTTTGAAGATGCATTTGCCTCTCTGTTTGAAAAATTCAAAATTGAAATCAATAACATGATAACAGAAATGAAAGAATATCAAATAAAGATGCAACTCCAAGATAATGAACTGCAAATACTTCAGATGAAAGAAAAACTTCAACAGCAAGAGAATCTAATTCAAAAACAAGATGATAAAATTTAAAATATGGATAAAAAAATTGCTGAGCTAGAAGATAGAACAAGAAGGAATAATCTAAGACTCCGAGATATCCCAGAATCCATCACACATGAACACCTGGAAATCTATATACTGGATCTCATAAAAGCTCTTGATATAGATATATCAGGATATAATCATATATTGGAGAGATACCACAGGACATTTAAACCTCCAGAAATACATAGCTCAAAACCACGTGATGTCATCATATGTTGCGCCTCGTCCAGACTCAAAGATCAGATCATGAAAGCGTCAATAAACATCTATACGATTCCTACATACGCACAAATAAAGATCTACCCAGATCTTTCCTACCATACAAGACTAGAAAGAAGACGATATATCGATTTAACAAAAATACTCCGAAATAAGGATATAAAATATAAATGGGGTGGGGCGGAGCCGAACCACCAAGCCGTGCAGACGTGTGTAGCATGAGCTCCTGCCCGGTGCGCAGCAATTGGGGCAAAAGCCGCAACTAGACCACTCACATACCTCTGAGGGTGCACTAGCCACGTCGGGGGTGCACCGCTGAACAGATTGATACCACCCTGAAGCCCGTCGGGGCCAGGGGGGCCAAAAGAAAGTGCGGCCTACTGGGACAGGGGCCGGGGAGAGGCGGCCGCTCTCCCTGACATCGAGGCCCTTCAGCGACGAAACAAGCAACCCCCCCTCCCTTTGGACCGGGGGGACATCCCAGTCCACCCTAGACGGACAGGCCGGAACAGACGGCGCAAACACAGTCTGAGCCGACTACAGAGGCACCAAGCCACTGAAACGCAGCCTAAGATGGCAGCCCAGCAGGGGCCCAGGAAACGGAGCACACATGCCCAACAACCCACGAACCCCTTGGGGGACTTCGATAGGCTCTGTGCGGGCCTATGGACTATGCTGTGCAACCGCGGGATAGCCTTCCACCTTGCGGTGAAAATAGTGGCCACGTGGAATCGCCCAGCAGCCCGACGCCGCCATTACAGGCAACCACTACAGGCGTCAGGAAAGGCAGCCGGGCCACACACATACCAACGATCCCATAAGCGGACAAGGAAGCCATTTTGCCCAGGTACAAGCGCTTACCCCTACAGTCCTAAGAGCGAGACTGCTAAACCAGCCACACACATGGGAGACTCACCTGGAATGGGAGCCAGCGCTCGGTACAGCTCTGCTCAACCCCTACAGGCCACAGCTACAACCCAGGGACCTGTGCAGCTGAACACCGGGGCAGACTCCCAGCCCAGGGGTGCCCGGGCGGCACAGCTCCAACGTGACATCGGGGAAAGGGGATTATCCCCACCCCACTTCCACCCAGCAGCAAGACCGGGAGCCCCAAGAGGCCCGACCTACCGCGCACACTCTACAACCGACCGGAGCAGAGACTGCATACGGGTGCCCACCAGAGGTATCGGTTGAATCACTGGCCCCTCCAAACAGACGCTCTCTAACTGTTGCCGAACCCTGTGCCACTGCTGACAAACCTACTCTAAGCACCCAGACAGTATAACCAAGTACATAACTAAACGCCTGTCCTGGAAGGGATCACACCACAGTGAAATATAGTATGTCTTGACACAGCATGTAGTGAATATAGCAAGTCCTATCAGACTTACGTTTAACTCTTAATGCGGTTAGTTACCCTAGCATGTTATGTTAAATAAACAACTTGTATTAGCCTGGCCTAACTGAACCATATTACAGCAATCACAGTATGTCTTAACTCAGCCTGTTGTTAATTTGGCATGTTAATTTGGCATGTTTTATCAAACTTACGTTTAACTTTGGACACGCCTAGTCACACTGGCAGGATGTGTTATGTTATATAAGCGATCGGCATTAGCCTGGCCTACTTGAACCACGCTACAGCCAACACAGTATGTCTTAACTCAGCCTGTTATTAGTTTAGCATGTTAATTTGGCATGTTTTATCAAACTTACGTTTAACTTTTGACACGCCTAATCACACTGGCATGATGTGTTATGTTATATAAGCGATCGGCATTAGCCTGGCCTACTTGAACCACGCTACAGCCAACACAGTATGTCTTAACTCAGCCTGTGGTTAGATTAGCATGTTAGATTAAACTCACGTCTCATTTTTAATATGCCTACTTACACTAGCATGTTATGTTCTCAAAGCAATGTTTAACAGCTTGTTATTTTCATGATTATACAAAAATGTGCCGACCAAACTGCCACACTTTGAAATGTCTTGAAAATGCTTGTAGATGCTGTTGTGGCTCTAAACGCCTGTTGTTATCATATGCACAAGAAAAATAAAGAATATAAAAAAAATATATATATATAAATGGGGTTTCCTCACAAAAATAATTATATCCTATGAATACAGTACAGTGTCATTTGACTCCCCAGAAAAATTGGCCAATTGGCTTAAAGAAAAAACCTGCAAAATAGAAATGAATAAGAGAAGATCTCACAGTATATATATTTTTTGTGTTCTCTCTTCCCTCTCTCCCCTCACACCTCTCCAGAAGAAAAATATACTATACAAAAATAATGGGTCTTTGGACTCTTCTTAAAAGGTACCAGACTCCTCTTGCTATACAAGGCTGATATAAAAGATTAACATAAGAAGAAGAAAATTGAAAGGAAATTTAAATCTGAAATCATCAGGTGTAACAGTACTCTCTACAACAATTGACAACACGATTTAACCCCTTAAGGACGGAGCCAAATGTACACGTTGTGAACAAAACAAAATGTAAACAAAACCTGGCATTTGCGCTACATGTCTGTCCAACCGCAATTCACCTCTTTCATAGTAAATGTACCCACCCTTATTATATATCATTTTATTCAGGGGAAACAGGGCTTTCATTTAATATCAAATATTTAGATGTGAAACATAATTTAATATGAAAAAAATGGGAGAAAATAAGATTTTTTTTTATTTTTTCAGTTCTACATGACATTTTAACTGTCAATGTCATAATACTGTTTGCTTTTACTGCAATAAAATACACATATTTTTATTCAGCAAAGTCTCACGTGTAAAACTGTACCCCATATGTACAGGTTTTATGGCATTTTGGGAAGTTACAGGGTCAAATATAGCACATTACATTTGAAATTGAAATTCGCCAGATAGGTTACGTTGCCTTTGGGACTTTATAGTAGCCAGGAATGAAATTTACACCCATAATGGCATACCATTTGCAATAATAGACAACCCAAGGTATTGCAAATGGGGTATGTCCAGTCTTTTTTAGTAGCCATTTGGTCACAAACACTGGCCAAAGTTAGCGTTAGTATTTGTTTGTGTGTGAAAAATGCAAAAAGCGCCAATTTTGGCCAGTGTTTGTGACTAAGTGGCTACTAAAAAAGACTGGACATACCCCGTTTGCAATACCTTGGGTTGTCTACTATTGCAAATGGTATGCCATCATAGGGGTAATTTTCATTCTCGGGCTACCATAGGGTCTGAAAGGCACCGTAACCAATCTGGCAAATTTATCGATATCATCGTTGTAATACATTTAACTGTTTTGAAACACTAATATTTGTGTTCAGCGAAGTCTCCCGAGTAGAACAGTACCCCCCATGTACAGGTTTTATGGTGTCTTGGAAAGTTATAGGGTTAAATATAGTGCTAGCCAATTAAATTCCCTTTACTTTCGGCATGGGTTGTCATGCAGGTCCCGCTAATTGTAATTAATTAAGATACCTAATTATGTAAAAATATTACATAAATATATATGTAGAATTAATATATATATATATATACATATGTGAATCTATATGTGTATATCTATATAATTTTTAAAAAATATTTTTATTTATATATAGGTATATATATAGTGATATATACGTATATATTTATGTATGTAGATATATATATTATTTCGTTCTACGTGTATTTTGATATAAATATATATATATTAATATAACAATATGGTTAGAATGAAATAACACATCTATATATTTTTTAATTAATTTTTTTAAATAATTTTTTTAATTTTTTTTTTTTTTTTTTAATTCTTTATTTATAACAAGATCAGATACCACAGCAAAACAGTCATTACAATGCAATAAGAAGATAAACATCACAAACAGTATTCGATATCAATCAAAATAAAACATGATTAGTTGCCCTTACAACCAAATATGTTCACTGAGTATGACATATGTCCTCCAACCATGATTATCTGTCTACTGCAGCCTCCAATCTATTTTATATTAAGTAATATACAGAATCCTGTCTGACTAAGTGGCAGCTCGTTTCTTCATTCCACCTTAACCTTTAATAAGTAGTAGGCGTCAAACCAAACTATCATATGCATATCTAACGTGTAAGGTCAACAATAGTGTATTACCATTTAACTAGCGATCCGCCAAAAATCCCCCCACAGCCCGCCTCAACCCAAAAAGGCTCATGTTAGCTAAATGGTCGCTGGACAGTAGCCAGTCAGGATGTAAAAATAAGGGAAAAAGAAAAAGAGATAAAAGGAAGTGGAAAAAAAGAAGATTAACCGTATGGAAAGCACCATAAGAGTAGAAAAGAAGAGGAGAATAGGAGAGGGAGGGAGTATGCTGGTGATATTCCAAGAATTGGCAATGATGCCAGCTCGACCAGTCGGCTGTGCAGCCAAGCCTGCAAAGCCTAAGGATGGACCTCCGAGCCCATGAGGAGAACTATAGACCGTAGGCGCCTCAGTGGGGACCAAAAGGACCAACTAAGCAATGGAGATATAGATTTGCCATCCCCCCCAGAGTCAGCAGAGGTATGTTGGGGCATGAAGGAGACGAGCCCGTCCCCCTTCCCCCTAATCGCCAACCCCGCTTTCTATCCACGGGCCCCAAATTTTGTCCAATTTCTTTCTAGTGCCCCGAACCCGAGCAGTCAACTCGTCCATGAGGTAAGTGTCTTTAATCTTATGTATTACCACATCAAGAGGGGGAGTCTCTCCCTGTAGCCACACCTGGGCCAGGGCCCTCCTGGCAGCCAGGGTCACCTTATGGAGCTAATTTTGTTCCGATCTGGACCAGTTCTCCATAGACCTGGCCAGAAGGAACACCCATGGATCCGGCTTAACTACCCTACCAAAGATGTTTCCCAGTAGAACGGCGACCTGGTTCCAAAATTTTTGTGCCTCTGGACAGACCCACCACATATGTATGTACGTTCCCTTCTGGCCGCATCCTCTCCAGCAAACATCCGTAGCCATTTTATGCATCCTACAAAGCTTTGCCGGAGTAGCGTACCACCTGAACATAGTCTTGTAGGCTTGCTCTTGAAAAGTGACACAAATAGAAGAGGTCGCCGCTGCTTCCCAGATTTCCTGCCATTCAACGCCTTCCAATTCCTCATTCAGGTCCTGTTCCCATTGCGTCGTGTAATGAAGCTCCCCCCATTCCGATGTAGTCGTACTGAGGTGTGCGTATAAATTGGTAATGAGGCCTTTCGGGAATTGTTCCTGAATGCACATCCTTTCGAAAAATGTAAACGGGGTTAAGGCGCTTAGCTTAATCTGCGGGTTTTGGGCAAAGTCCCTTAGTAGGATGTAGCAAAAGAAGTCAGAGGGGTGCAGAGTAGCTCTGGTCTTCAATTCTTCAAAGGATAGAAGTGCACCACCTTCGTATAGATGATATAAACGTTGTATCCCCGTGCTCTCGATGCCCCTGAAGTTTCTGGCCTCCAATCCCGGGGTGAAGGCTTTATTCCTCAGGTAGGGGGCCAGCGGGGACAAGTGTGAGGACAAACCATATTTGATTGATGTTGCATCCCATATTTTCAGGGAATTTGCGATAGCTGGGCAGTAAACGTGGTTAGATGGTCTTTGGTCCCTAGGGACCCACATATAGAATTGAGGGACATCAGGTCCCATAAGATTAGCCTCTAGGTCTACCCACCGCCTCTCTTCCGGAGGAGCATGCCAGAGTGCTATTTGAGCTAGTTGGGACGCCAAATAATAGAAATAAAGATTAGGTAGACCTAAGCCGCCCTTCGCCTTCGCCCTATATAGCACGTTGCGTGAAACTCTATGTTTCCTATTTTGCCAGATGAATTTTCCAATGGCCTGTTGAAGGGCCCCTAAATCAGATTTAGACAGTCTGACCGGGAGAGCTTGGAAGAGAAACAAGATCCTGGGGAGGATATTCATTTTCACTGAATGGATCCTACCTATCCAAGAAATCGGTTTATCAATCCACTTCTCCATGTCTCCTATCAAGGTGCGAATCAAGGGCGCATAATTTTGCTGAAATAGTTGAGTAGGGTCCGCTGTCAGCCGGACCCCCAAGTATTTTATATGGTCCTTCGCTATGTGAATCTGATAGATGTCGCCTATGTGGGTTACATCCGTATCAATCATGCTAATGGGAAGTGCGCTTGATTTAGTTAGGTTCACTCTATATCCGGCAAGTTCACTATAGGCCTCCAACACTGTCATCAGCGCCTCCATAGATTTTATCGGTTCCGTCAGGGTCAGCAATATATCGTCGGTAAAGCCAGATACCACATAGCGCTGATCCCTGATCGCTATCCCCTTTATTTCTGGGCTTTTTCTGATGGTTTGTAAAAGGGGTTCCAAAGAGAGTGCGAACAACAGAGGCGACAGCGGGCATCCCTGCCTAGTTCCATTCCCCAAACTAAAAGGTTCTATCTTTGCGCCCGAGATCCGGACCCGAGCCCTAACATCCGAGTACATTGCCTTTATCGTAGTTATGAAGGGGTCTGGGATACCAAAGCTACGGAGAGTCTCAAACAAATACGGCCATTTTACCCTATCGAAAGCCTTCTCTGCGTCGAGTGACAGTATCAAAGTCGGAATCCCCCTGGTTGCTTGCCGCCATATGAGGTCAATGTTACGCCTAGTGTTCTCAAAGAGTTGCCTTCCTGGAACAAAGCCTACTTGGTCAGGGTGTATTAAACGTGGTAACAAGGGGTTCAGTCTACGAGCTAAAATCTTAGCAAGGATTTTAGAATCATGGCTTATTAAAGAGATCGGGCGAAAGTTTTCGGGTAACGAGTCGTCTTTGCCAGGTTTCGGTAGTAGCACGATATCCGTCAGTGACATGTCCTTATCTGGCGTTCCTCCCTCCATTAGATCATTAAACCACTTTTCAAGATGGGGTGTAAGTTCCTCTCGGAATATCTTATAGTAGCTGCCATCAAAGCCATCCGGGCCCGGAGCTTTATTACCTTTTAAAGCTGTGATCGCAGC